TGATTTATTAGTTGACTGTAACGTACAGTCATTATAAAAAGTAATGACGGCCCCTTAGAAACAAGGAAAACAAAGAAAAAGAGTGATAAATTCTTGTATTTACGATATTCTTATTATAACAGAAACTTGGTTTTGTGATAGTATTTCTAATAATGAATGTGGCGTCGCGCCGCAGGCTGTTCGAAGGACCGTATAACCGTGTCGTACACGGTACGAACACGGCAAGAAAAGAGTGTTGTTTTATAACTATATATTAATAGTGTGTAAATGTATGTACAGTTTGTTGACCGATCGCGTGTACTGCGAGGTGCGTTCTGTCGTCCGGGTCCGTACCACCCCGGTGCCGTCGAAGGGTGGGTGGTGGGGTTGTACCGCTCTTGTGCAGGGCTGTACTGCGCATTCCGGCCCCCCTTGAACCTATGGTCTCAAACCTGGGTGTCGTCGTCGTTGGGGAACGGGCAGATGATGGTGGCTGTCCGGACGATCGCATCTTTTCCTGGATGTGTCTCCATGACGACTCCCATTCGCCAGCACATCGGATGGAGATTGTCTTCGCGTAGTAGAACGGGAAGTCCTGGCTTCACCTCTGTTTTAGCAGTGCGACTCCACTTCTTTCTTTGTTGCAGCTTGTTTAGGAACTCCCCTGACCAGCGCTTCCAAAAGCTTTGCGCCTGTTGTTGGACGCGTTGCCACCGTGACAGACGATTCTCTTTCACCATTGTAACATTGTCTTCGACTGAGGTTGTTAGTTTTCCACCGATGAGGAAATGCCCAGGAGTTAAGGCCGTGAGATCGCTCGGGTCAGAGGATAATGGAGTCAGGGATTGGGAGTTGATGCATGCTTCAATCTGCGTCAAAAGCGTATAGAGCTCCTCATACGTCAATAAAGCATTACCCGCAACACGTTTTAAGTGATATTTTATTACAATGGAAGTACGTTGTCATTGGTCACCACCAAAATTGGTACATTTTGTGCATTTGAACTAAAGGATGAAGCTGGCCATTCTGACTTATTTTTTGATAACCAATATGGACCGTGCCACCACAAATCAGACGTAATAAGTTTATTAGGTAATTCACCTCTTGAGACAATGTCTGCAGGGTTATCAGCACATTTAACGTGATGCCAATTAGAAATACTCGTTAATGTGCTTATTTCAGCAACGCGATTTGCAACGAAAACGTTCCAGGTACTTGGCGATGATGCTAACCAAGATAACACTATTGATGAATCTGTCCACATATACTGCGTTGTTATGTTTAGATTTATTGTAGGTAATAATTTGTGTATTAAGCGGGCTAATAGCACGGCTGCGCAAAGTTCTAGTCGAGGCAGTGTGATAGTTTTTAATGGAGAAACACGTGATCGTGCGCATAATAATTCTGTTTTGTACGAATTTGTGTTTAAGTCCAACGTTCGGATATAAACACAGGCACCATAAGCCGACATGGACGCATCGCAAAATCCATGAATTTCGACGTTATTGTATTGATTTGATACAACCTTTCTAGGTATTTGTAGTGTGTTTAATATGGGTAATTCTTGTTCAAGTTTAAGCCACGTTTGTCGTATATCTTCCGGTAAAGGATCATCCCAGTCGAGTTTAATGAGCCACAACTTTTGAATTAAGATTTTTCCCAAAACAAGGACGGGTGACAAGAGACCTAGAATATCATAAATTCTCGCGATTTTTGATAAGATGGATCGTTTAGTAGTATTTTCCACGGGCTTTGTTTCCACGACATATTTTAAACAGTCCGTTTTGCAATTCCACGTTGAACCTAGTGTTTTGACCTCGTCGTTATGGTCTAATTTAACTACATCGTTATTTTGACTACAATTGGGCAAAATGTCCGGACAATTAGATGCCCACTTTTGTAATTGAAAACCACCCCTATTGAAGGCGTCAATTAATTGATTGCGTAATTCTATGGCTTCTTTGACTGAATTAGTACCCGTAAGCAAGTCATCAACATAGAAATCGCGTAAGATAATTGTCGAGGCTAGAGGAAAATCGAGTTGTTCATCGATGGCTAATTTTTGTAAACATTTGATAGCTAAGTATGGGGCACACGCGGTACCATACGTTACGGTCTGTAACTCATATACCTCAACTGGTTTGTCACTACTCTTGCGCCAAAAAATCCTTTGGTAAGGTGTATCTGAAGGATCGACCAATATTTGACGATACATTTTTACTACGTCGCTACTGAATGCGAATTGGTAGGTCCGAAAGCGCGTAATGATTGAAAACAAGTCTTGTTGAATAGTTGGACCTACCATTAGAATATTGTTTAAGCTGACACCCGTACTTGTTTTGCAGCTTCCGTCAAACACCACACGCACTCGGGTGGTAGTACTCGAACTCACCGCGTGATGTGGAAAAAAATATAATTGTTTAGTGTGAAAATCAGATTCACCTGTAACTAATTTCATGTGACCTAGAGCTAAATATTCGTCTAGAAAGTTTGTATAATCGGCTTTAAGAGAATTGACCCTTTTCCTGTAAGATCGTAAAACTTCCATAGTGACTTTTCGTGCGCACGCATCTTCAAAACCACGTTGGAAATTGTATCCGGCACTCCGGCAGCAGAGCAAAGGCCTGTGACAACAAACCGCTTTGACAGAATGCAACCGGCTACACATGCGTAATCTGTCGCTCATTGGTTAATTTAAACTTGGCGCTCCAAAAATCTGACTTCGCCTGCGCGATGTTGTCTCACTCTGTGTCATTGGAATTTATATAATGTCTACTCACTTTGCTTACAGGAAAAGGGTCAATTATTTTTGTTCAAACGAGTTTCTAGTGCCATAAAACGTTTTAGGGCGGTTACATCGGAAAACCCCAGCGTGGCAATATCTTTCTTAAAGGGTAGGCGTACCATAAACCGACCGTTAATATCTCTTTTGACCGTTTCTGAGAAATGCCGTTCGCAGGTAAGTTCTTCCACGGAAAAGGAATTACTGGTGTTTACAGCTGTTTCTTCTAATTCCCAAAATTTATGAATTTCTTTGTTTAGCATATCTTGGGGATTTGCGTTTGAAATACAGGCGACAATATTGTTCTGCGAAGGACCGGAAATTTTACCTGTTAAGACCCATCCGAAAACGGACTCACGAAGGAATACTTGATTATTAAATATGTTAATTTGACCGTTACAAATTACTTGCCAAAAGTACTCTGCACCTAACAAAAGATCAACGGTACAGGGTTCATTAAAATTAGGATCTGCTAAATTAATATTTATGGGTATATTGAACTGAGATTTTGAAAAGAATTGGCATGGATATTTTGATGTGATGTTAGGCAATACTAAACAATTGAGATTGTAAAGAGTTGGATTAAAACGAGATTTTATGGTTACCCTAGTCGAATTTTTAACTGGTGTTTCGATTTCGCCTACTCCACTAATCGGGAATTCGATTGATTGTAATTTAAGTCCCAATTTTTGACATAAACTCGTACTGATTAAATTGCTTTGTGAACATGAATCAAATATAATTCTGCATTCTTGATAATTTCCGAAAGCATCTGCAATTTTAACCACTGCTGTTGCAAGAAGTACAGTGGTGTTGTTCATATGTGACACTGATAATGACAAATTGCTTGTCGATTGTTCAGGTATATGAAGCAATGTGTGATGTCGTAAGTGACATTTTTTGCAAGTATTAGTCGATTTACAATTTGACACAATGTGATTAGATTTTAAACAATTCGTACATGATTTGACCTTGTTAATATGAGAGAGGCGTTGTTCTACTGAAAGATTTACGAATTCTGTACATTGAAATATTAAATGCAATTCTGACTTGCAGTAATTACACCTAAGGATGTTTTTGTTAATAGTTTGTACCAAAATACGTTGTTTTGTTGTAGACTCGCGCTGACAGTTTTTATTGAAATTATTATTATGTTTATTAAGATCTATGCTATGTGTTTTGTTTACTGATATTTGTTGCATTGATTCCAAAAGTTCGCAACGTTTTTCTAAAAATGATATCAGATCCGTCAATTTTGGTATTTCACTATTTAATGTTGCCTGCCATTCTTTACGACTTGTATAGTCTAGTTTTTCTACAATTAATGGAACAATTAATGCATCCCAACTTTCTACGGGTAAATTTTGTATGCGAAGTGCTTCAATGTTTGTCGTAACGTCGACACATAATTTTCTCAGAGCTACAGAATTTGTTTTAAGGATAACAGGACTATTAATGATAGCTAAAATATGTTCTTGAGTAATTAGTCTTACGTTATTGTATCTTTTTCTTAACAAGTCATAGGCCGATTTGTAATTATCTACCGAAATAGTGAGAGCGTCAATTGTCGCTAACGCTTCTCCCTTCAATGAGGATTTTAAATAGTGAAATTTTTGGCAGTTATTTAAACTATTGTTCTGATCAATTAACGAGCAAAATATGTCGTTGAATGACAGCCATTCCGAATATGAACCTGAAAATGTTGGTAAATTTAACGTAGGAAGTTTGATGGACGTTTCTAAGTGATGATTATTGTTAGGATTACTATTATTTTGACTAGACGCCGATAAAGGTGAGTATTTATTTAATTTTTCCCGAATGTCAACTATTATGTTGTAATACTGTGTCTCAATAATTTCGCGATCGTTATCTGCGTTGTCTTGCAACTCAATTTGAGTTTGATAACTTTCGTATTCTTTGATCACGTTTTCTAATGTTTCTAACCGTACTTCAAGGTGATAAACGCTATCTGTATTTTTGAAATTTTTAACGAAGTTCTCAATGCGAGTTATTTTGGATTTAGCGATTCCTCGCCTGGAGCGTAATTCGGCTACCGTTTCTACAGTCATTTTAATGAAATAAATGGGATTTTTTGAATCGAATTATGCGTTATTGATATACGAGAACGCGGTACACGCAGATTGGCGCAGATTGAAATAAATATGCATACAGGGTAATAGGACTTACTTGGATTGTACAGGGTCATTATAAAATATTGTAGTCGAAGAAGGCCATGATTTTGGTGACATTATGTGCCGCCTTTTTCAGTTTTGTGGAAAGGATTACACTAATATTGGAATTTTTATTTTTTACGCCACATTAGTGGCTACACTGTTTCGGCGCCAACGCTTCATCAGATTCTGTCGGATGTCAACAATTTTTTCGTTTCTGCTGATTACTGGTGCGTTTTCCCACATTTTGTGCGTTAATCGACTTGTCTTGTTGTTATCATTTGCTGTCTTCCCCTTTATTCGAACTTTAAGTGTCTCAAAAAACAGTTTTTATCAAAACTACAGATCATTGTCGAATAATCTCAGGTAATGAACACAGAGGAATAGTCAGTGTTACAAATGACTTTTTTAGGTTAAGAATTAGGATGGGTTATTCTTTAGAGCAAAACACCTTCATAGTGATGTCCTATTACCGTAATGGGGTGTTAAATGAGTATGGAGACTGGGTGTACTCTGTGGATGCCTGTAAAGACGAGTATCTGGTGAAATATCCTGTTGTCATCGAGGAAGAATCTTTGAAGACACACATACGGCGAATAGTGGCAAGATTTAACGACACTGGTAGCGTCTGTAAGGGAAAACCGACGGGGAGACCTGAAGTTAGTGAAGACGTTGTTGACGATTTAAGGACGAGAATGGAGCAAAGTCCGAAGAAATCTTTGTCAAAACTGTCTTTACAGTCCGGAGTACCATACAGCACGTGCCAGAAAGTCGTAAAAAAGAAGTTACATATGCATCCATATAAGATTTCGTTGGTTCAGGAGCTGCAACCAGCAGATTTTCCTCGCCGCGTCCAGTATTGTCATTGGTTTCAAGCTAATTTGGACGATAACAGGATTCTTGATTTGTCGTTCTTTTCTGATGAAGCCTGGTTTCATCTGTCTGGCTATGTCAACTCACAGAACTTCAGAATTTGGAGTACAGAAAATCCTCACGCTTTTGAAGAAACACCATTACACGCAATGAAGGTCGGTGTGTGGTTAGCTGTTTCCAGACGACGATTCATAGGCCCGATATTTTTTCAAGACACAATTAATGCGGCGAGATACAGGGAGCAAATTTTGGATGTATTTGTGAATCAGTTATTGCCTGAAGAATTAGAGTCTGGTTATTTTCAGCAAGATGGTGCTACAGCTCATACGACAAGAGAAAATTTAAGATATTTGGAAGAATTTTATGATGACCGCATAATAAGTTTAAGAGCCAATCCAGAGTGGCCCCCCCGATCTCCTGACTTGACTCCACTTGATTTTTCAGTGTTTGGATGGATGAAAGACAGCATTTATAAGAACAGAATCCACACATTGGAAGAATTAATGGATAAAATTACACGTTTTTGTAATGAAAATCTCAATGAAGAAGTATTGCAGGACATTTTTGAAAATAAAAAAAGAAGAGTGGCTTTGTGTTTGCGGGAAAATGGACAACATTTTCAACATCTTTTATAAACTACATTGTAGTGGCCTACTTTGTATTTAAATTTAAAGAAAAGCGCGCCCAACCGACGACGGCGACGAAGACGCTGTGTAAGCAAGAAGGTGTGGAGATTGTGGCGTGGACGGCGCGAAGAGCCGGTGGCGGCAGTTAGTTTTTTAACACCCATCAGACAAGAGGTTGTATTTACAATTGTGTACAGAGCGCTTTCTGTCTGTGTTTTATTGTTTCAGTTTATTCATTGTGTTTTCACCCCGACTGTCACCTGGACTTTTCCCCCTTGTCGTTGGGGCCGCCAACCACCGCTGCCGTCTTCCGTGGGGCTGAGAATCGCTTCTTCGCTCGCGGAGGGAGGAACGTTTGGGGCGGTAAGAACGCTGGGCGTTTTCCGTTTCATTCACATTTTAACGAATTAATTCTCGATTGGGTAAAAGTCCTTGACAAATGTGGCGTACTTAAACTTTGTTGCAATATCCACAATTTTAGTTTGGGTTTGATAGTTCTTCAAGTTTCAAAGATATTAAAACTAAAATTTGTCTAATCAGAAAATGTTCGGGGTTGTTTGGCGAGAGCGGGGAGCGGCCCAAATTCAAATTGATGATTTTTCTTTCATTCGTATGACTGTTTTTCTCGCAATACCGAATGCCGCCAACACGGGATATGCGAAGGGTGTCTTGCTGGTAAAGGAAACTTTAGTGGTGGGAGCCAGTGTCGTGTGTCCCGCGGTGGATGGAGTAAAGTTACGGGATAATACTTGCCGCCGCTGCCTCGGGCGCCGGCGAACACAGGATGGAGATAGCGTGACGTTTGGGGTGGCACAGTGGCTTGGTTGTACGTAGCTGGTTAGAGCGAAAAGACGGTCAAAAGACAAGGTCTAGAACCGCTAGCGCTACACACCCCCTGTTTCTAAATTTATTGAATTAAATTATGTTTCTGTTATCTGCTGACTGAAAAGATAAGAATTTCTAACACGCCACTATGACAACTGTGGCATTGCCATCCAATTACTTTAGCTAGAGCTTTCGCGAACTGTTTTTTTTTTCATTGTATGTCACTGCTAGGATTTTGAAAATATTATAACTAAATTTATAATTGTTTTCATAAAAGATGGAGCGGTTTTGCAGCTGGGAAAATATGCTCATCAAGTTTATTTCACAGCTTTTGTCCTCTCTTTTAAGAGGAACCAACTTTCAGCCAATTGTTTTGTTATATGTGTAAACTTAAATATTCTATTTCAGTTCAAATCTCTTTTTACCAAAATTGAATAAAAGATGTTCCCTTTCAGCGCTGACTTTGACTTCCTACACTCTTCCCGCTCCTCATTGCGCCAATTTGTATCCGAACGCATTCCGCCATTCAAAACACAACGTAGGGTCCCCATTTTGTTGACGATCACAGTTCATGGCTACTTTTCGAAATTTTCGCGGGTTTTCAAATTTTATGCGCATGTTCCAATTTTGGCGGAATGTTTGGGTTATTACAACATACATGTGTATTTTACATTTCAATAAACAAAACTGGATGGAAAAAGTGTATGTAGGTACTGTAGTAAAGTTTTTTATCATCAGTAACTTTCACTTTTCTTTCTGTGGTAGTTGCATTCTCTCTTAATTTAAAATTTCAACTTACTGTTTAGTAATAATTGTAACTTTACTATTAGGAAGGTTAAAAATCTTTATTAAACATTCTGTTATTTCAAGAGGTTTCTTAATCATCTACAGAAATCTTTAACACTATGCTCCTGAAACTTTATTGTTTCATCTTTTTTATTATAGGAATTTTGAAAAATCTTGATATTAGGATGACCATGTGGGCGTGTTTTGGGTAGAACTTCTTTGACATTCCTGTTATACAGATCTCGCATGTTTCATATATCTAGAAACTGCAAAGCTGAAGATAATGCTTGGACATGGCAGTTTTCACCTATTGTAGGAACAAAGATGAAGGCTTTCAGTTGTGGTATTTCAAGAGAAAAGCACTGCTTACAAACCACGTCTGCACAATGTTTTGACGATTCCTTACAATTTACAAACTGAACTTTCGCGTGATTACAATTTTAGCAAAATTATTTAATACCAAAACGGTGAACCTTTACAAAAGGCACTTCGCGATTTTGCACAAAACTCTTCTACAGCACCGGCTGATCACGTTCCTCACTTACAAAAGTTGTGCAAATGCTTCCTTGTGTCACAAAAAAATATATTTAGTGTTCGCCCTATGGTTTCCACACTATTAGTTGCGCCAAATGTAGAAAACCAACTACACATGCAATTTAACTCGCACGAGTTCCAATAACTAAATGATCTATGGAGTAAGAAGTTCCACGTTTAGGGGTATGTTTGTAATGGGGTGCAGTGTGTCCATTAAACACCCGACATTACCCGCGTGTTGGTGACTAACAATAGTTACGTTATGTTAGGGACAGCTTCCGAGTAAAGTGTACAAACAGGAAATTTATCAATTTCTTTGTGGCAGAAGGAAGCATTTGACAACATTTGAAGACGAGGAACGTGATCAGGAGGTGCTGTTGAAGAGTTGTGTATGCAAACAGTTTGTGCGAAATCAAGAAGTGCCTTTTGTAAAGTTTTACCGCAAAAACTACTCACTGTCATTTTAAAACAGTGGTACTGTGCTTTAATTGTAATAAGACTTGCTCTGTCATTATCTATTACGTGATTTTTCACAATTTTTACCTTCAGAGAACCTATAAAAATGTATTTTTTTATTAATTACCGTGTTCAGTGGTTTCGACAAATTTAACCTCACTTTTTGGATTTCATTATTTGAAAAATTGTTGTTTCTTTGTAAAACAGACCAGACGATTTATTCTATTCAACTCCAATCGACTTTCCAATGTGTAATTCATGACAAAGCCCTTCAACATGCCTTCAACGCTTTTCTGACAATTTACAATTTTTGAAGGTCAAATTCAAATATGTTGCAGTAGCCAATTAGCCATGCAGTTCCAGTAGCGTTCACAATTGCTCGACAACATTGCAACCCTTAATGCTCTGGCGTATTTTCGTGTATTTAAAATGAAATTAAACCGCGAACCGGGCATTTCAATTTTTGACACATCTGACAGATTTGTTTGGACGTTCGTGACATTTCAAAACAGTTCAAATCATTTTGGTGATTAGCGGCACGAGAAAAATTTCATTTGTTTTTCATAGGTGAGTTGACTACAATATTTTATAATGACCCTGTAGATTTGATGTTTCTTGATTCGATGATTTGTTTGATCGCTGTTCTATCGGGCTCGTAGGACCAAATTCGATGATTTGTTTGATCGCTGTTTCATCCGGCTCGAAGGACCAAATGTGGCGTCGCGCCGCAGGCTGTTCGAAGGACCGTATAACCGTGTCGTACACGGTACGAACACGGCAAGAAAAGAGTGTTGTTTTATAACTATATATTAATAGTGTGTAAATGTATGTACAGTTTGTCGACCGATCGCGTGTACTGCGAGGTGCGTTCTGTCGTCCGGGTCCGTACCACCCCGGTGCCGTCGAAGGGTGGGTGGTGGGGTTGTACCGCTCTTGTGCAGGGCTGTACTGCGCAATGAATTAAATCTATGCAATTGTTATATTTTTAGGGCGGATCGTAATTTTAAAACTAGCGTTAAAATTCGTGGTGGCGGAGTATTGATTTTATTAGGAAAGAATTGAACGCTTCTGTTGCTCTTGTTGGTCAATTTATTGAAAGTATATACATCAGGATAAAATTCAATGATCTAGACCTAATTGTAGGGGGCGTGTATATTCCTCCTGCTAGTGATCTGAGTGTTCATGAAGATTTTTGCTCTGAGTTAGAGTCGCTTTTTGACCTTAGTCTTTAATGTACCTTGGAATAGTTGCGATGACGTCAGTGTTTCGAATGATTTCTTTAATGTCGTTTGTCTTACTTGTTCTCTTATGAATATGAAACAAATTAATAAAACACCCAATTTAAGGAATGTTTTTCTTGTCTTCTCTAGTTTATATAATGTTAGTTCCGCACTAGATAGTTTACTTCCTGAAAATCTTCATCATTCTCCGTATTACTGGATCATTTCCGTTAATCTCCCTTCTTCATTGGAATCTGAAATTGAGATTATGATGGTTTCAATGCATTCTATTCATCTATTTGTTGGGATATTTCTTTAGTTGGTGACACTTTTGAACAAAATGTGTTTTTATTTTATGAAATTGTGTTTTATGGTTTCCAGCAACACATTCCGTATAAAGTTATTTATTAAACATAAAGTTGGAAAATTGCCTAATTGGTTCAATAGGGAACTTAAAGAATTATGCAAGTTAAAAACTTCTGTCCATTGTCGATACAAAGAAACTGGTAAACTTGATGGTTATTTATACTTAAATCTTTAAGATAGAATAGAATAGTTAGTGAACTGTCATACAACACGTACATCCGAAAAACTAATAATAATAATATAACTGAGAATTCTATTTTTTTTGGAAATTTGCTAATAGCAAAAGGAAATCGAGTAATAATTTCCCGTTACAAATGAACTTGGGTTAACAACTCGCAAAAGGCGGAGAAGACATAGTTAATCTTTTTGCGGAATATTTCTCATCGGTTTACACAAATGAGAATTACGCAAAGACAGCGAACTTGACCAGAACACACAAGTAAATTATGTTGGTTTAAGAATCAGTATACGTGAAGTTTTTGAAGATATTTGTAGACTACAACCGTAGTGTAATTCTTGACCAGATGGTGTCTCCAGCATTGTTTTAAAAAACTGCAAATTTTCACTCAGTTTATCTTTATATATTTTATTTAAAACTTCTTTGGAGCAAGGCATTTTCCCATCATCATGGAAATGCAGTTATGTTTTGCCAGTTTTCAAACCGGGTAAGCGGAATAAAATTGATGACTACCGGGTGGTATGCAATCAGTTGCCTATTCCTAAGTTACTGGATTCTATTGTTACAAGTCAGTTGCAGTGGGCTTCTTCTTCTATAATTTCAGATGAGCAACACGGATTTATGTCCAAGAGATCCACACTATCAAATTTGCTTGAATACACATCATTTATAACTAAATGAAGCTTTTTCAAATCGCTCACAAGTCGATTCAGTCTATATGGATTTTGCTAAAGCATTTGATCACGTCCACCATAATTTATTGATGAGGAAGTTGGATAAGCCTGGTTTTCGAGGTAACACGATTAAGTGGTTGTCGTCGTTTCTTTTAGACAGGAGTCAATAGGTCCGTATTGATAATTTTTATCACGCTCATTTGACGTGCCCTCTGGTATTCCGCAAGGCATGCAGCTCTACGGTTGCACCTGTTCTTTTAATATTGTTTTGAAATCACTTAGTGTATCACTTAAGACATTCTAGTAATTAACTATATGCTGATGACTTGAAGATCTTTAAAATTATTCGTTGTCATAAGGATGCTGAAGAACTGCAAATGGTTGAACTTAAAGAATTGTTATATTATTTCCTTTTCCAATATTAAGTCTAGCATTAGATTTGACTATCATATTAATAATAATTCGCTGAATCGTGTTCCTGAAATAAAGGATTTAGGTGTTATATTAAATTCAACACTGTCATTTAAAAGCCATTATGTATATACGTATGTATTTCGAAGAAGACGTGGAATTATTCGAAAAGGTGCAAAAAAATTTTCTGCGTTCGTTGGAATTTAGGATTGGATATAAACACATTAAAGGTGATTATAACTGGATTATGCACAGTTTTAACATCACACAATTAATAAGTGTTAGAAGACATATATCAGATGCATGTGTTCTCCATAATATTATTAATGGTTGTATTGAATATCCGGATTTGTTGTCTGGATTGTCTTTCCTAGTACCATTCTCTAACAGTCGCTCTTCTAGAAGTAGAAATATCTTTAAGGTTGTAAACGCATCAACAAACCTCTACATAGGATGATGATGGCTGCAAACAAATTGTCCAACGGTAATGTACTCCTTTTTAATTCGAATTTTAACAAATTTAGACTCCAGGTATCATTATTTTATAGGCATGTGTATTTTTTCTTTTCTAATTGTAATATTCACATTAGTTAATTTATCTAAATAAGTTAATGATATGTTGTTGTTAACCACTGTTAGGAATTAACTATGTTCTACTATGATTTTTTTCCGTTTAATTAGAAATTTTCGTTAATAAATTAAACAACAATAAATAACAACATATGCAGGTTTTGTATTTTTCACAACAGTCGCAATATTGCCTTCCCAGATTGTAATCTCAAATTGAATTACGTGGTCATGTTGATTCCAATATACATTCATTCTCCAATTCCATTCTATACTTATGCTGCCACTGCATAATTTTTGAAGTAATGCGTTCAATTTTGAAAAGGTGCATTTTCAAGGCGGACCTCTCAAAAACAGACAGCAATAATTGTTTTTTAAGTCATAAATCTGTTCTTTTAATTCTCATATTATCTAATAAGTATATAGTAGCTGAAACTTCAAATAATTAAAATTTGTCCAAGATGATAATAATAATAATAACCAGCTATTTGTTATTTTTAGCTATGACAGTACAAAAAACTAATATCTGCTGTTTCACTCAATTTATTGCAGAATCATTTGATGTTGAAGGCCAAGTTGATTACATTTATAATAAGCGACTTTTCGTAAGCATTCGTCAGATTAGACCACTTTAAGCTGTTAAATAAATGGAACTGTTTCGGTATTTATAATGCGTTGATAAAATTATTCAGCTCTTTTTTAATTGGCAGAACCCAAACTGTCATTCTCAGTGGTCTTTATTCGACTTCAATAAATCTAAACTTGGAGGTTCCACAAGAGTCTATCCTCGGACCCTTGTGGTTTTTAACTTGCTTACATGCAGTTCTCTGGTTGCACCGGCGAGCCGCATTCTCGCTGGTTATGCTACTCGGTACTTTCGGCGCTTGTAATGTAAATACCTATTAATGAATCTAGCAATGTTGTATTTATTTTTTTTTAAGATAGGTAGACATTGGACTGTTTCCACCGAGATGGATATATTCCAGATCTAAGCAAAAGATTGAAGATAATCATTAACGGAAAAGCTAGGACGCTTGCACAATCCTTTAATAGAAAAGACGGTATGCCGTTAGGTCCCGATGTCATTTTACTTTTCATTTTCTGTAAAACCTTGTGTACCTCTTGTTCACTGAAGGATTTTATAGAAATTGAAGTACAATGATACCAAAAAGTTGTATCAGAGGATATGGATGTAATCAAAGATTTTTGAAAGTAACCAGCAAAAGAATTAACAATATTTGGACAACCACTTCTAATCTTATTATTATAAACCATCGAAATCGGTGTTAAGTTTTCTTCTTTTCTCCTTCTTCAACGAAATTTTAATCAACGATTTTCAAAAAATTTATCTGCCTACATTGTTTGATATTGTTGTGTTACTAATTGCACGAGGGTAGATTCGGTAAGAAAATCGTACACGACACAGAACACAGTTACGCTATATTTTTCATTTAGACAACTTCGCTTAAATTAATAATCAACATGTTATAAAAGTATTCTTAAAAATCTCCAAAAAATTATTATTAGTTGTAAGAATTGTGTATATCATTTTAATCAATGATTTCTGCAGTTATGATGCATAACAAAAAAAATAAGCTTTTGAGTTTGATTGGCTGAAAAAATTTCTGCTTATTAATTGTTTGTTTGGTTAGTAAGAAAACAAAATTTCCAGGAAAATATAATATTACTTGGTAACCGTACTAAATTTTGTCTTCTCATTGCCACGTATTAGGTATCGTACGATTTTCAACACAATGACCAATGCATAATTTCTTAAGTATTCAGAGGAGAGAAACAACATTACAAGCACTAATTTTATCTGATAAGCAACAAAAGTGTATATAAAAAACAGTTGAACAACATGTTAAAAATTACATTTTGCAAAATGAAAGTGACCATATACTTATTTTGCACTGCGGTCCTTTTTTTGGGGTAAGGAAAACACTGAATATTTTGGAAAAATAAACTTACTAAGTAATACTTTCAGCCAATCCCGCAGTGAACCGTCCAATAAAAAATTTCCTGAAAATTTCCGGTTCGGAGTTGCCACTGCTGCATATCAGGTAGAAGGAGGATGGGCAGACGATGGTAAAGGCGAAAATATTTGGGATCACTATACGCACCACCAACCTGACCACATCGCTAACAATGCTACTGGAGACGTCGCTTGTGATTCGTACCACAAATACATGGAAGATGTTGAAATGCTCAAAAATTTAGGGGTTAACTATTACAGATTTTCATTGTCGTGGTCAAGAATTTTGCCTACTGGATACACCAATCAAATAAATGAGGCAGGTGTCACATACTATAAAAATTTGATTAGTGCTTTAAAAGAAAATGGAATTGAACCTTTCGTCACTCTTTACCATTGGGATCTTCCACAACCCCTTCAAGAAATTGGAGGTTGGCCAAATCCTCTACTTGAAGACATTTTTGCTGAATATGCTAGAACGGCATTTACTTTATTTGGTGATGACGTCAAGAACTGGATGACATTCAATGAACCCCAACAAACGTGTTTATT